AACAATGCGATCTAAACTATCAGTATCACTTATTAAAAGGCCTCTCTCTCTCTCTCTCTCTCTCTCTCTCTCTCTCTCTCTCTCTCTCTCTCTCTCTCCCTCTCCCTCTCCCTCTCCCTCTCCCTCTCCCGCCTCTGGACTACACTTAGAAATGGTCACCAGTACACATACGGACCAATATTCACAATCATCAAGTCAGAAGCAATACCATGCTGTCTTGGTGATGTGGCGAAGTATACATGTGGCTTGAAATACCCTTTCATCAGAGATGACATTGAAAAAAGTTGTGATGAAAGATGGCTCTCGTGAAGTATTCTGCAAAACTGAGCCCGCACCATGAGCTCAATGTCACTGCCCATGACATAGAGCTGGTCCTCCATGGAGAGCTTGCGATTCAGGTGCAACAGAACAAAGGAGACCCCCGGGAGACGCACAGCGGGGCTGTTGAGGATGCTGCCCCATAAGGCACTGTAGAATGCCGACTGCTCCACTGCTGCTGCCACCTTCTCCAAAAGGTTGTTGGTTCTGCCCAAAGATACAGTGCTTGGTTATAATGCATTGATTATAAACTGTAATACACCCCACTAAAAGGCACAATTGGAATTCTTACAGGCTTTTATGAAGTGCAATTTGGGTATGGCACCATGACCTGTGACCACATGAGTTGAACTTTCTAAATTCTAATGAGTCTTTTCCGGCTAGATGGGTAGGCAAGTCGAAATGTGGTAGATCCTGCCATTTCTCTTTGAATAATCAGTTTAGTGTCAGGGTTCCTACACCTCTAGCTATCTATTCATTCAATATTTAGTTATTGTAAATGTATACAAATCAGTACAGACAGATAAAGATTCTAAAAAATATCGCATTTAATGTAGAGTATCAATTATAATGGATTACAAGAAACTGCAAGCGTTTCAAGATTTTCATGATTTCACACAGTGAAAAATCAGTGCTTTCTCCCATTACTGCACTCCCACATTCATCTATCCATCAATCCGACTACGGTCAAACGATTACATTTGCAATCATGATGTGACAAAACCCGATTTGCCAAATGCAAAGTCTGCCATTTGGCTGGTTATTGGGAGCCTTAGTAACTAAATATCCTATAATATATATGAGAGCTGATATTATTTATTGTAATAAGGATGAATGAATTGCTTGTTTCTTTAAAAAAAATACATTAGAAAAGGAACCTTGGAAAAATAATTGCATATTAAATCGTAACAGCCATTTTGAGGGGAAAAAAAAAAGAGAAATGAGATTATTTTCCAAAATCATTCAGCCCTAAATCCAGTTTTCTCACCTGTCATAAAACTCGGATCCTTCCTCGAGGCCAGGCAGTACTCCAGTGAGGAGTCCTTGTAGACCAGGCTTCAGGGTCTTGCCCAGAGGCAAGTAGTAAGTCTCATAGAGGCCCAGCAACACAGGCTTTACGGACATGGCAGCATTGGTGAGTAAAGGGAAGAGCCCAGAGCTGCAGTGTAGAAGATGATGTGACATGAGTTATGTTCAATGTGTCCAGTGTAAGTCCACTGACACGTGTAAAAGCAACACTTACCTATAAAGAAATAGGTCTTTGGCCAGCCTCTTGGGTCCAATGATCTTGAAGATTATCTCATAGGTCTCCAAGGCCTTACGGTGGACTCCACTGGGCAGGGCAGGATGGAGGCATTGGGCCAACCGCTTGCCTATTGTCAGCTTCTTGGGAACCACTTGATATTTTGCATTGTTCTGCAATATCTGAGAGGACAACAAAACACAATTCTGAGTTTTATTGCCAGCTGTTTCCAGGTTATATTTTTGATATGTTGAGCATTACGTTACTCTCAAAGAGTTGTTCTGAACCTTTTAGGGTTCTGGACCACCTTGCATATTCTTGATCAACAATCAATCAATCAATCAATAAATAGTTATTTGTTGATGGTGCAAATTGATAGAAATGTTATGCATTTGCACAATGTAATGCATTTTACATTGCATTATGGGCTTTAATTACTTTTTGACACTTAATCTACAACATCCAGAACAAAAGATGTTTTCCAAATAAAGGAAATTAATGGAATATGCACACTGAATCTGTAAAGAACACAGATTCTCTAAAGTTTTGCTCAATAGCCATTCAATAACTTTAACAATGAAAACGGAAGTGAGATCCCTTATTAAAATACAATACAATGACTTACACTGGTGAAACAGATGGAACTCGAGAAAAACAAAAAAAAAAAAACCCATCTGTCACCCACTGTAATTTATGTGGATAAAGGTCTCGGTCACATTTGACACAAAATAATGCTATTTCAATCAATGTCAGGGCACCTTCATAAAAAGATTTTACTGCCCCATTGCAATTACACCATGAACAACAGACTGCCGGTTGAGACACACTGCTCTACGAGACGCCACAGCATACAGTACCGTAATTGGTTCTCTTTCAGTTTGCAGATGCAATGTTTGCTCTTCAGGTAGTGTGTGTATCATTCAAATTACAAGTGATTGCAACCACTCGGTGGCAATTTAGGGGTTATTAATTGAGGGAACGGGATTTGGTTGGATCTGAAAGTTAATGTCAATGTATGTGTTTTGAGTGCTGTACCTGTGAGGTAGTGCAGTGAAAGATTACAAACTCAGATCATTACCTTGTTGAGCTTGCCCAGCGCAGAGATGAGGTCTGCCCATTCACTTGAGTACTCAAAGTTCTTAAGGGCTTTATCCACCGCTGCCACATAGTTCCTGTACTTGGAGTCACCGAGCAGCTCCACTTCCTCTGCATTCATTCTCCTTAGTGGCTATTGTGCTTATGTCAAACACCGGGCATGCATGTGACCATCACACCTGTGCGGAAGCCACACAAGGAAACAATAAAAACACAGTTGACACAGTTGATTAGTGATTGAAAGTTACTGTTTGGTGATAAAGACGCTAAAGGCATGGCACTGCCTAATAGAAACTGGAGTCGAAGAAAGCAATAGAGCAAAGCCTGACTCAGGCAAATATGACCATATCGATGACAGGAGTATATATTTAGTATCAGTTTTATAACTAGACAGTAGGTAGGTCTCAGAAAGGGAAAGTGAGGAAACTCATGTTCCGGGAATCTTTACAATCTCACACAGTCTCTACTTTTAATAAGGGGCAAACATTATGCTACTGATGTCCAGGTTGCCTGACGTGAGTTCATTGAAAATTAAGCCAAGGGCGTACTCTGCTGGAGGACATGTGAAATATCACTGTTTCAAAATTTGCACTGCAGTATTCTTTAACGTAGTACACCTTGAGCAGTCATACCAACCAGTAGATATACAGTAGAATCACACAGGCAACACACGCACAACATAGGCGTAATAACGTCAGATGAATATATAAGAGTAGGTCGACAGGTGGGCAGGCTGGTTACTGAATGAATGACATCATTATTAACTAGTTGGTAAATTAACCCTTTCCTGCACCAAAAATGATAGCATGTAACATGTTAACATGATAGGCTGTCCACTGCCGTGACCGCTGTCCGTGAAAGGGTTAATTCAGTCTGACTAATACATGGGTAGAACGGTGATCAATTGGTTCGCATGTCTGCCTCACAGTGCAGGTGCAGGGTTCGATTCCAGCTCCAGCCTTGCCGTGTGGGGTTTGCATGTTTTCCCCGTGCCTGCGTGGGTTTTCTCTGGGTACTCCGGTTTCCTCCCACGTTCCACAAACATGCATGTCAGGTTAATGGAACACTCTAAATTGTCCCTATGTGTGATTGTGAGTGTGAATGAACATCAGTGTTTTGAATTGAAAATAATGTTATAAAATAACTTATCAGAGGTCAGGCAACGATGAGTTCACCCGGGGATTATGAAAACTGTCTCAGAATGGCACCAAGAAACGTTCTTAAATTTGGATAGCTATTTTATAACATTATTTTAAATGCAAACCATTGACGTGCATGCATTAGTTGGACAGCTTTTAATTGGAAGGTGGTCAACACCAGTCAAAAACCTTAGGTTTGGGAATACAACGCTGAGGTCAAAATATCAGTACCTCCTCTAATAAATAAATAGCTGTAACGAGACTTAATCGGGCAAAAAGAACATGCCATGCGGATATTTTAGAAGCCAACCGATGCATATTTTTAAAAAAGGGGGCAGTTTGTGGTTTAAAATTAAAGCAGTCCAACTCAAGTAAACACCCAGTTATCACAGATTTTTTAATCCGAAAATCCATGGATTATATAGACAGAACGTAGCTTCACCTGTACTGTTCACATATTGCAGTCCCTAATGTCTGTTTACATCAGTGAATGCTAGGGCTAACAGCTAACGGTTTTAACTATAACATGCGTTGACATTTAACACACACAACAACACATTGTTATACAAAGTATCTTACCGTCATAGTTTAGCGGACAAGAAGTGTCTTCTAAATATGTACCCTGTTGGGTGGATTAAATGAGCTGTCACATCAGTAACAGCGCTAGCAAGGGCGCTAACCTTTGCTAACAGTTTGCTAAGAGGATGGTGAGGACGGGCCCGACACCTATATCACAATGTTTCGATTTCTTGGCAAGAAGAAAATGGCGAAATATATTCTACATATTCCCCCGGTGCTTGTTGTCGCTGTGTGCCAATCATCAACCATGAGATAAAAATCGGACGTACAAAGGCGGTGTAATGACAGCTCCCAGACTGCACTGCAGATTTGCAGCACATCTAACCGTACAGTCAACCCACTTTCCGCATGGGAGTCTTGTTGGATATGTAAAGTTGATGACCGTTACGCTGAAACACAACGGAAATTACAATTAACGTTATAATAAAAAGGTTTTACTCTCGCCATTGGTTTCTTTAAATATTTCAATTTGCTGTACTTTTTTCATGGATAGGCAGTTAAGAGTAAAATATAAAACATGTAAATTCGGTGTGCTTGTATATTTTTGCGATTAAAGAATTACAACATTGTCGTGTACTGCACGTGAATGTTATTTTGAAAATGATAAGCGGATGCTCTTATTCATTAATGTGGCATATCACAACATACTAGTAGTGTTTGCAGTCACGCTGTAGATAACCCTTACTGCTACTACAGTGAATAGTTCGTTTGTTGTTTTAAAAATATTTTAGTTAGCTGATGCTAATATTTGTGTGTAGTCTGTAGTCTCTATGGCCGACTTGGACACGCCAGCCAAGACACATGGAGTTGGGGTGTTTCTCGAATTAAGGAAAAGGCTACAAAGTGGACTTCTAATTATCGGGTAAATAATTGTGTTGATAGCTCATTATTTTTGTAGCAGTAAATTTGCGTTGTTCTACGATGCAACAGCATTCATTTACACACCAACTGTGCTAACCGAAGTCAGCCCGGTAAACGCAAGACGAAGAATAATTTGGTATAGCTCAAGACCATGCTGAACTTTTGTTTTGAAAAGAACAGCGTCGCCTCGAGTCAGTCTAATTGGACGTCGTTTAAATAATTACAATAAACACGTAAATTACCTGACTTATTTCGAAGATCGTAGCTAAATAGAGGGGATTCCCTCCCTACCATTACCATGCTGTCCCCATCCTTCGTGTGATGCAGCAATGTCCCGGATTATTATTTGTTGATCCCTTTGAGCTATTCGAAAAATGTCTTCATCTTTATACTGTATAATGGGCGTAAAATATTGTCCTAAGTGTGACTGCTTGTGTCAATAGAAGATCTTTGGTCGGGATGGCGAGGTACAGTACACAAATGAAGACACTAGATGGGGTGAATCCAATTTAGTTCTTCCTTTTGCGTGGCATGAAGATCCATCCATCCATTTTCTGATCCGCTTTATCCTCACAAGGGTCGCGGGGCATGCTGGAGCCTATCCCAGCTGTCTTCGGGCAGCAGGCGGGGTACACCCTGAACCGGTTGCCAGCCAATCGCGGGGCACACAGATACGAACAGCCATCCGCGCTCACATTCACACTCACACCTCGGGACAACTTTGAGTGTTCAATCAGACTGTCATGCATGTTTTTGGAATGTGGGAGGAAACCGGAATACCCGGAGCAAACCCACGCAGGCACAGGGAGAACATGCAAACTCCACACAGGAAGGCTAGAGCTGGAATCGAACCCGGTACCTCTGCACTGTGAGGTCGATGCGCTAACCAGTCGACCACTGACCCACCCTGATATGAAGATCAATTATCTAAATTCTTATAAAATATTTCACACATACCGATTTTGAATTTGTTGATGACACGAAACTACTAATCATCTACAGTCTTAGTTACGTTGACTTATTTTTCTCTTCCACATTTGTGAAGCCAATTTTATTTTATACTATCATAGTGCTTTTCAGTACTTGACTAATGTAAAATAAGGCAGTCTGATTATCTTCTTTGTTGTATAACATAATCATGTTTAATACAGGTCCGTAATCTGTGTGTGTGTGTGTGTGTGTGTGTGTGTGTGTGTGTGTGTGTGTGTGTGTGTGTGTGTGTGTGTGTGTGATAAATATGCAAAGAACACAGAAATCAGGAAGGAGGCAAATATGTACTGGACCAGCATATTGTGCACTGAGGCACCCATGTGGGTCTTTCAGATGAAGGATGCAGTGAAGCTCATAGTTCTGTATCACGATCTTTCTTCTCTGTTGTCTAGGAAAGATGTCGCTGGAAACCCCATTGATGTGTTTGTGACCGGTGGAGATTCCTCTCTTCACCTCCGGACCCCCACAGCCGAGGTGACCTTCATTTTGCCACCAGGAGTCTCCTATGTGGACGAATCCTGCATTCTGACACCAGGGGGAGAATCCTGTGATCGAGAGCGCCATTTCAGGCTACGAATAAGTGTTTCACATAACAAGACTGAAGGTACTGTAATCTACGCAATCTATAGCAACATTTATTTGTCATATCAACTAATTGGGGGTCACAGTAGATACTGGTTAGCACGTCAGCCGCATAGTGCATAGGTCATGGATTCGATTCTGGGCCCTGGCCTTTCTGTGTGAAATTTGCATGTTCTCCCTGTGCCTGTGTGGGTTTTCTTCAGGTACTCTGGTTTCCTCCCACATTCCAAAAACATGAATTGTAGGCTAATTAAACACCTTACAGTAAACTGTCCTGAGGTGTGATTATGAGTGTGTATCGTTGTTTGTCTATTTGTGCCCTGCGATGGGCTGGCAACCAGTTTGGGGGGTAGCCCGCCTACTTCCCCAAAAAAGTTGGGATAGGCTCCATCACACCCATGACCCTTTGGAGGATAAAGATGTTCAGATAACGGCTGGATGGCTGAACAATTTGACTAAGACAATTGACGATTCTGCTCAAAAAAACACATCATGTAAAAACCACTTAAATTCAGTTTATGAGAAAACTGTACCTCAGAGTGACTGATTACATAATCTTGTGAGTTCTTTATGTCAAAATATCATTTTGTCAGGACCTTTTTGGTGTTTCTGTTTGTCTCAGTACATGCTCACAACTGACTTCACTCATTGACCTATCGAAACAAAATTGATTTTGTGCTGTTTCCTCGCCTTCAATTTTAAGCGTTTACTACTATTTTCATAAATTTACCATCATTTAAACTTGTTTTGTTTCCCTTTAGAGTCCTCAGACATACTAAGAACATTGCGGGCTCAGGAGACTTATAGCTTCTACTGTCAGAGCTGTACAACCAGGCTGCTCGAGGATAGGTGAGGAAAAGACGATGAGAAACGGGAATGGAAATTTATACTTCTCTCTACTGCTCCTCGTAAGGAAGAAATGTGTGCTTTTCTTGATGCTGTGGCTGTGATAGCTGGCCACGGGAATAATAGATGGGTGGAGCTGGAGCTAAAATTGTCAGTTGATGTAGAGTCACTATGACATAAAGGTCTGCATCACCTATTAAAAAATATTGTGCTTCCCGCCCTGAGGTGGTTCAGTGGTCTTATTGACTTCAGCTTGTAGCTTTTTCTGGTCAGCAGTGTTATGTGCTGAAAAATTACAGCGCCTGCATTATGGAGGCCTTTAGCCCCTGGTTATGTTTCTCAGCAGTGACCTACTAAAAATTGCCAAACACTTGTTTTTTTTTTTGTTGTTTTTTTTTCCCCCCACTCTCAACAGGGGCAAGTGGATGTTGAGTTTTGTGTAGAAATCCTTGGAAGTTTGGCAATTACAACAACGTCATGCGTCATGACGATAGGCAGTTATTTTAATGCTTGGCCATAAGAAGATTGCTGCTGACTGTCACTGCACTGCTCCATTAATCACACAGTATTTGTTTTACTAGGGTCATTCCCAGAAAGTTTTGTCGAAGAGTGTGACATGAGAACCCCAAAATAGACCTGTTCAAAACCAGGTCAAAATGATAAATGCTTTCAAGCAAACCTTTCTGCAGTGTGCTCTGAGTAAAGACACAGATAGGTCACCCCCCCCCCCCTTTGTTCGCAGGAGATTTTTAAATTTCGTGGCAGTCTATTGTTTCATATTAGCGCGCTTGGTACCTGAGCACCAATCTTTGATCATTCAAGTTAAAAAACAAAAATGTAATTATGTTTACACTTGAACAGCTTCACTAGATCCATACAAAGATTTTTAGTTGAGAAACGGGTACAAATGATCAGTTGTGCTTTGAAAATGAAGTCTGAATGGTGAATTTTATAATTTTCTAAAACAATGGCCGGCATTTGCGTAGCCTTTTCTTTGGAGGCATGGTAGATGCATTCTAATGATCAGTGTTTGTTTCCCAAAATATGTAATAACTGCAGCTGAATTGTACGGCGTTCAAATCTTGGCAACTTGCATACAAAAATACGCTAAAGAAATATTGCGTGCAAAAAGCGTGACAAAGTTATTCGTGTCGTTCCAGTGGCAATATACAGGATATTACAGTCGTAGATCGTGAGTGGCGCCTTGTCAAAATAACGAGGTAAAGAAACTAAACATTTTTTTCTCTGGCGACGTATCATCACATAATGTAAATATGGTCATTTGTGATTTGGAGTCTTACCGTCTAACTCTGACATCTCTAACCAACTAATCTGAGATTTTTCTTCATTGTGTGACACGAAACACAACGACAAGACTTGAATTCACTGCCTCAACTAAGGCGTAAATATTCAAATGTCAGTCTTTTTCTGCTGGGCAAAAAAAAAGGATTAATTGCAAGGTTGTGCTTGTAGTTGCTATGATAATAGTTTTTAAATAGGTAATTCTCAACATGACTTCCATGGCCAAGTGAATTTCTTCCAGATGCAGTCACATTGGAGAAGTCAGGTCATGGTTTAAGTAAAATAGCGCTGCCCAGGAGAGATACCAGCTTTGCCATTATTCTCCTGTCCTATCCTCAGTGTATCAGTTGAATCCAGTAAGCAGCCCAGGACAGAGCTGGCCCTCTTCACCTGTTTCTCCAAACTCCTTTCGTCCCGAGCAGATACAATGCCCTCCATACTTATTGGCATCTGTGGTCAAGATGTGTTACAAGCATTAAAATAAATTCAATTTTTATTGCAGATGCTTACTCTCATATTGAAATTTTGGAGAAGTAGTTCACCAGACGCAGAACCTTGGTTTGCCTGCTGTGGCCTTCTCAGTCCCCAGACCTCAACCCCATTGAAAACCCTTGCAGTGAGTTCAAGAGAAGAGTGCAGGAGAGAAGCCAAGTCACTGAATGATTTAGAGAGCGTGTGCCAAAAGCAATGGTTGACGATCCCTCTTTCTTTATTCTCCCATCTTGTGAAACATAGGACAAAATGGCATTCTGTTTGGTTTTCAATGGGGGGGTTCAATCCTGGAAAAAACTGCAGCAGTTTGCTCATGAAGAGTGGGCCAAAATACCACCTAAGAGGTGCAGAACTCTCAGTGGCAGTTACAGCAGTCGTTTGATTGCAGTGATTGCCTCAAAAGTTGTGAAACAAAATATTTTGATTTGTCATTACTTTTGTCAGTTTCAAGTTCTTTCAGTGACGATGTGACCTTGTCCGTGCGTGCCTGCGCGTGTGTGCGTGCGTGCATGTGTGTGTGTGGTAATAACAGATGAAGTCTGCAGATGTTACCACTTTCTATACACTATTTCCAAAATTAAGCCATGTTCTAAACTAAAGCAGGCTGACCATATTTGATAAACATCTCCCGTTTTCAAAAGACAACCTTGGGATACATATACATAACAATTCCTTATCTTCAGATTGTTCAAGCGAGTGCTTCCTCTCCCAAATGGCAACTGGAACGCCATTGTGGACGATTGGTGCTGCCATCCGGATCCTTTCGCTAACAAGAAGATGCTGCCCGGAGCTGAGGATTGTTTTCTGGGTGACACCTTCTTTCTCCTCACAAGGGATGGCAGCTGTGAACAGACCCTTCTCCAGGAAGTGAGCCCTGCTGACTCACAGGATAGTCAAGATCCGAAAGTGAGTGATGTGCAGCACCAAAAGGATAGCTGAGGTAGCAACGACCCAAAAATTCTAGCCTGCGGTGTCGCACATAATGTACTGTAAGCCAGTGCTCAGTTTTTGTGACAAAATATCTGTTCTTTGGCATGAGTGAATACAATATCCTTTGCAGAGCTGTAGGATCTTATTTCTCAATAAGAAATTAAAGAATTAATAATAAGATTAATTAAATAACTCAAAATAAATGCTCAAGACATTTGAGGTCTATGTCGAAAAAAAAAACCCATGAAATTTCGAGTGCATTTTGTTTGCTCTCTCACGAGCCATATCATTAAAGGGGAAGTCAACCAAAAACTTTGCAGAAATATGTTCCACCCGTTTTTCTTCATCTCAGGGATGGCCATTTTGCCACTTTCTGTCAACCGAAACTGACACCACAGTTGCTGAGGGATCAGGTCACAACTAATCACCCGCTCACCCCTTTTCTGAAGGTGAGCCATAATTGCTTGTTACCTGAGCAACTGTGAGGTAATTTTCAGTCGACCACAAGTGGCAATATGGCTACCACTTGAGATGGACAAAAACGGGTGGATTTTACTGCTTAACTCGTATTCTACAAACACAATGTTAATCAGAATTCCTTGTTTAGACTAGTGGGGCTGCATAGAACTTATTATTGTGAAGAACATTTTTGGGTTGACTTCCCCTTTAAGTATGCGAATTGCAAAAGAGGGGTCGGGGGAACATTGGTAATGATGGTGTTGACGTTGATAATGCACTTTTGAGGCAGTCTCATTATCTGCTGAACAGCTTCAAAAAAAGTCCACCCCCATCTTCCACTCTAAAAGTGAGATGCAAGGACACAAAGAAGTGCCGAAACTGCACTGAATGTTTGAAATTCCGGGTTTAATAGACCTTTTCAAATCCTCTTGTACACTCAGCCACATCAGCACGTTTCTCCCAGACAAAATTGCATCAGTGAAATGATTCTCTGCACTCCCTGGACAAAGATTAATATCTCTATCTGTTTGGAGAACAATTGTCTTCCTTTGGCCGAGTTCCAGTGGAAACATATTGGTTGTTTTATTTTAAGACTGTCCATGCAACAACTGTATGTATATAATGTTGAAATATTTCTGCTGTGCATTTCTATCATCAATAGAAAAATTGCCGCAGACTGACACTTGTGTCCTGTGTGAGCTGTTCCGCAGTTCTCGGAGAAGCGCCGACACCGGGTATGCTTCCTCTGAGTATGTGGTGATCAATAAACGACAATCCCCGGGTTTTTATGAGCTGCTCCTGCTGTGACTTGCAGAGACCCTCAGACTGTACATCACACAGGTGATGGTGGAGTCCAATGTAGGGGACAGAAAGCCGGAGTCTTCATTCAGCAGGTAGGTCCAATAGCTGGCCAAAGGGAAATCGGTAAGAATTGCTCGGTAAATACAGTGGCTTAGGAAGGCAGGAGAAAATATGCAGTTGCACTCAACCCGGAGGCATTGTTGGGATTTGACTGTCTGGTTTATTTTGCCCTTTAAATCAAGTTCTTACAGTACCTATAAATAAATACAATGTCATTTGGTATTTTTCAAACTTGCCAATGCTTTACATGTTTGTGAATTTTGTTGAATCTAAAAATAATAATGATTAAGCAGGTAACTGAATTAAGATCACAAAAATGCAATATGCGCAATCATATACATTTTGTGAATACGGAATTGGATTGGATGGGTTTTTTTTTAGCTGGACTAATGACTTGATGCATGGCAGTTAACTTTCAAAGGCTGTTGTGTGAAATTTAAAAATATTGATGAAATATACTTGGTTTTGGACAGATCCTGCTTCCTGGAGAGGACTGTTGCAGCAAGGCTTGCAGAACTTTCCAACTCAATGAGTTCCTTCCACTTTTCTGTCCAAACACAGAGTGGAAAAACGTTCTTGCTGGTAAGAAGAGGACAGAAAGATACTGAAATATTTTATAAGAGTAAAAGTACAATTATTTATTATCTTAACTGCTATAATCACTTTACTAATTTGACCTTAAGGAAAGTGAGGATGCTATGTTTTCCCCTCATAGGTTTTTTCATTGAAAATGATTTCCTTTTAACTGCAGGTGGCAGTAGTGTTCATTTCGGGGACGGGACGACTAGCAGTTATGTGCAGGACTACCAGCATCAATCAAACTGTTTGATCTAATTTGGTTACCTCATTTTGCTTCAAGTGAACAACAAAAAAAACTTCTCAAAATGATGCTGTGCTTTTTTCACCACTGCAAACTACATGTCCAACCACAATACATCATATGAACAAACGCATGATACATTTGATTGTGCAGGTGGACTTAATGTCGTGGCCAATTGGTCTACTTTATTCTGTATGCAAAAAGAAAGTTGACAAGTAGTACCCATAAAGTCCAGTACAGGTACAGCTGGACGATATCCGGTTATATTCAATGCACTCTCGTACAACCATTCATTTCTAGTTGATACTCAATTTATAATAGCACCACATGCTTATACCCCACCACCCCCAACGTATTTATTTTTCTCTGATTATGGCAGGCTGTTAAATATTTTGCTCTCCATAGTTTTAGTCAGCTCATTTACTTCCAAAAGTGTCAAAAGTATTCATGTTCACTACTCAAGTAGAAGTAGAGATATTGGGGTTTAAGAAGCCCTCTGTGTAAAATGAAGTATCACCGGAAGCTTTTTACTGAAGTAAAAGTGTAAAAGCAGATATCTTTTAATAATATCTTAAAATACAAAACGTATAGTAATGCGTGGGTGTGTAGGGATCCATTAAGGACAAAAGCTTAGGCTGATCATCAGCAAGCTCTGGGGAAGCCTGATATTGAACCTGTTCATCCGGTGTATGGCAATCTTGCGATGGGACAAAGAACAGGCAAAATGTGATTTAGTCCTTTGCACATCCTATATGTGAAGTGACGTGTCTGCTCTTCTTGCAGCTCTGGCTGCTGAACAGTGATTCCATCATAGCATCAGTCCCAGAGTGGTCTGCTTGCACCCACACTCATCACAGTCCATCACTGAGGGCTGCAAGAGTACTCAAAGTCCTCTACATAGCCTGTTCTCATATGGGGGTCCAGCAGCAAGAGTAAGTGAATACAACATGCACATTTCTCCTTCAGTTTTCACTCCTTCTTGCCTTAATCTTTCATCTTTTCAATGCATCCGCTTCATCGCCACCTGCCGTAATGCAAAGCAGAGGATGAAAGATTCATTTGATTCGATGTTGTTTAATGTGCATAGCTTATGCACAACAAAACATGAACTGATTTTACTCCCATTTGTTCCAAGGGTAAGAAGATGCAAGATGCATCCTGTAAGGACAGATTAAAAAAAAAAAAGTAGGATGTGCTATTCTCATCTGCTACTCATAGCACGTAATTATGGGATGGCCACAATGTACTGTACAGCAATCAATGTTCTACCATCATGACCCCCGTTCGAAATTTCAGATGACTTTGGGTAATTCACTGTATGATTAATATAGACAGATTCACACCCACATTTGCGGTTTTCAATTCAGTCTTCAATACACCTATTGCAAAGTCTTTTGGAATTTGGGAGATGAATCAAAGGAAACCCCAAGCAAGCGCAGGCTGAACATTTGACTGAGACAGACATGTAATATTAGCCACATGTGCCACCACGCCGCCCAAATATGCAGTTTGTGATGTGATTCCATACCAGGACATACAGTAATGTTCCATTATTTTGCAAACACGATTGCTATCAAATGTCTTCAGTTGTCACTTAAAGTGCTTTCTCAAATTGTTTTGACCGCTGTGAGTCTCTGTGTACCTTGCTGTGATGCATTAGGAGGGTGTAGGTGGATGCTCTGCGTGTGGTTCTTCATGTTCTGTATTTCTCCCCCCCACTGGAAGTCTTCAACCCTCATTATTTTCAACTGACTCAGCACTGGTCGTTTTTTTTCCACGCTGCTCTCCCCTGCAGCTGAGTGCAGTCAAGTCAGAACGGGGAAGTTATTTCCAATGTTTTGACAAACTTGCTGTCAAAAAAGTCACACCAGCCTCCGTCAGGAAAGCTGCTATATATTGTACGTCTAAGGGTGATATTCCAAAAATGATTCGCTCTTCTGGGATTGTTTTGCACAAATTATGTCATCGGGCAAAAGAAAATATGTCGTGGGATGGCAGGTCACAATGGCCTTTGAGGCACTTGTTTTGAATGAGCAAACCAGTTGGAAGTACTGTACATCAGCAAAGCTTTCTGCTGTCAAGTAATGCACCCAACTTTGCCTCCTTTTAGCTTCACGAGCGAGCGTCTCGTTCAGTGTTGACCAGCCTTAAATCTGCACAGGCACCCATTCTGTTACCCGACAACACGCCACCAATCAAATGTCACAAAATGATATGAATACTAAAGTCATGATAACGATCTTGTCTCAGATGATTCCTAAATGCCCTTAGTGTAAGCGGATATATTTGCAGAAGCCATGCCTTTTTTTTTTTTTTTTTTTGTAAGAATGGCAACTGGCAAAACACAAGTCTGACATCCAATGGAAGAGCTTTTAATTGTTCTGCCTTTCGATATAGGCATTTGCCATAGATAAGATGAACAAATAAATAATTGGAATTAAAAAAAACATTTCAGGAAAAACAAGGTGATATTGGATAATAACCCTGCAGTACCCCTCAAGACCTCTCATGGGACACTAATGTGTCATAGCACCCAGTTTGGGAATTGCTGGTTTTGTTAATGCAAAGTGAATGAGTTGCCCAAAAATGACAAAATTCTCTGTAAGACATAACATAAATCACTTTTTGTCTTTTTTGCACTGATATTTAGCTGGCGTAAAAGTCTCAAAATATAAAAAATGATTAAGACATTCTTTTTGTCCTATGTGTCGTTTTAAGAAAAAGTACATGAACAGAAGACTTATCCTGTGAGAAATGCACAGATGGCTGACATAGATTTTCATTTTGGTATGACACCATACACCACACATACTGACACATCATCATTCTTTCCTTGTTCAGTCACTCTTCCTACATGATGCACAGGCGTGTACCGCTGGAGCACCCAAGCTTGTCATCTATCTGTTTTAATGTTTTCCTCGTAATTCTGCACCGTTTGTAGTTAAAAATGGCTCTATTAAAACTGCAGTGGAAATTCTTCATCATTAGCTTTATTGCAGCTATTTCTGGCTTCCTAGTTGGACTGAACATGGCTCTGGCAGTCAACATAAATCACTTGCACTTTCTACGTTTTAGCGTGGCCACCAGCTGGGAGGTCAATGCCACAGGACACTCTGTGGTGCTCCCGCTGAAGGTGTGCGAGGAGTTGCTGCAAGTGTTTGAAGACAGCAATGCTACACTTCCTGCATCAATGCGTCACATGAGAGCCTATAAGGTGAGACATAACTCTAAGGGGCAGGAAATTGGAGTTAAAACCCACCAGGTGCTTTGCATCATTACAATATTTTCATCTGTCCAAAAACATATGACTGAGTCTGGGTAATCTCAGCAGATATAATAACCATCTTCTCCCCTTGTTTTTTTAGTATAGCACAACATTAGCTAGTTTGTCTGAAGCAGATGACTCAAGCACTTACACTGTAATTATGACCTTTACACCAATTTAACGTTTTCATCCATCCTTCAACCTAATAACATGATAAACTGTCCACTGTAAGTAACCACTGTCCCGGAAAGAGTTAAGTTGAACGTGGCAATATTTTTAATCCAATGTTATACAGTGATCCTTCACTTATCGCGGTTAATAGGGACCAGGACCGGCCGTGATAAGTGAAAAACCGCGAAGGAGGATTTGCTCCTCCCTTAGGAATTTTTGTGTATGTGTGTGCCAGCATGTTTAAAATATGTAAACATTGTTTATACTTGACATATTTGAGACAAAGACTACAGCAGTGCACAATATTGACTTAGATCTTTAATTATAAAAACGTACACAGGAATTAACATTCATCAGCATTGACCTCTGAGAGAGGAGGAAGAGACTTGAGTTGGTGGCGTGGAAGGCGGCTCTCACTTTACGCTCTGACGGTGTAGCCGCCGTTAGCCTCCAGCTAGCTCCTGGCCAGCTATCTCCGCGCAGTCGATGTGTTTATGACCAGGCAATTAATCGGTATTGATGAAGAGGAGCTGAAGGGAGACGTGCTTCAGCTTTCGGACAAGCCCGATGAACCATTCTCTCTCTCTCTCTCTCTCTCTCTCTCTCTCTCTCTCTCTCTCGCACTTGCATTTTCTCTATCTATCTATCTGTATTTTGTTACTCAAAATTAAATCTTCATGCCATGAGGATAGTAGCAGCATTGATGCTTGCCGTTGTCTGATCACTGTGGTGTGTGAGACCGTTGTGAAACTGAGATGGCTGCAAGCACAAGGCACAGTGTTTGTCTGTTCGCCGGAAATGGTTACGGTGGTCGTGAGGAGTGTGATGAAATGATACACTCAAATACTTCCTGATTGCGGAGGCCTGTTGGGAAGTCGGCGGCGGAGGACAGGAAGGTAATTTGATCACCGAAACATCTTGAGTGACTCGAATTCGTTTCAGACGTCGGTCACCAACATGGGCGTTTCGGGCACTCTGTAGCCCCCAATGACCACATCAGTTGCCAGCTAGCCTGTTCTAAAAATAGCTTCCCAGTTTTGAGACATTTGTATTTTTATTAACAAATTGCAACGTTTTACCCCTCACTTGAGTACATTTTTAGACCTGTACTTTTACTTTCCGCAAAGTGATTTTACTTGAGTGTAACAGGGTAGTAGTATTTCCGAAAACCGTTTCACCAAAATGAACCATGACACAATGTGTCATGATACATGATTGTCAGTGCCACAGTATTTTGTACATATTAAAAAAATGAGAAGCCACAAGCAAACTGTACATTCTATATAATACACCCACTCACATTTCCAGCTTCCAACTTTCCAAGTTTGACTCACAATGTTTGACCCATTTTAGTGTCTGTGAGTGGATCAAAGACCGCACCATAACCAGCCTGGAATGCACTTTCGACTGTCGTTTATTCTGTGTTCCACACCCTCCATTCCTGGACCCTCCAGTGTAATGGGGTGTGAAGTACTTTGGCTTGGTGTCTCTTTGCCACGGGCTCATTAATCTCCTACTTCTCTCAACCATGGCGATGGCATGTACCAGTAGGTTAGTCACAAAGGGGATCAGAAACTGATGCTTTTCACAATAAATTGTTTAGTATCCACTATTTGAACAATGACAACTTTGTAGTTTTGCTCTCATACACCAGTACAATCACGCTGCGATGGAAGTGTATGGCTTTTACCATGTACAGTATGCAGAATAACTGTACCTCCATATTCAGGGTATCATTGCTATTTATGTATTGTGTGCAGCCCATTTGTTTGTTGCTTCAAGACACATGCAGCAACTATATCTGGATATCTGGATATGATATCCGGCATTGGGTTGGTGTCTGGCAGATATTTGACTGTGGCCATCAATATGAAGTTCTGGGACATTCAGTTGGCTGAAAATCAAAAAGAGAAATGGCAAAAACCTTCAGTGTGGCCAAGTCATAGTGCACTGCATTAAACAAATAAAATGGCTTGACGAGAGCTGTATCCAACTTGATGATTTAAAAAAATAAAAAACTAAAATAACTGTGTAATTTTGTCATATAATAATAATAATAATAATAATAATGTTTCTCACTAAATTCTGAAAAGAACAGCCTCCACAGTGATAGTACGGCAACTCCAAAACAGAAAAGCGATCTGAACGGATAAAATTTGTCATGGGGCAAATGATAAAATAGCCCCGACTTAATTTGTGGTTAATTATAGAATTGATCAGCCAGCACAAACAAAAGGCAAATTCAAACTGCAGCTATTTTTCTGAATTATCGCGACAGCATGCCCAGGACCCAAAGCCAGGCCTATAAAAACGTTCGATATGCTGTAGAAAAAAAATGTTTTGTCATTTGTTTCCCTCTCAAATTGTTAAATACGATTGAACATCATTACGAACATTTGCAAAATGGCCCGGTTAATGTGAGAATTATTTGATGTCTTTGAAGGACCATGAATGAAGTGTTGCATACCCAGAGTAAATTAACTTTTTAATCACGTAAACTAAGCTAAGACAAAGGCATTGTTTGAACTCCTCTTGGATTTTCTACATGCAGAGCTTGAGGGAATAGACTTAGTATTGAACAAGATTTTACCAGACTTTTTAAAGCTCATGACCAAAATTATAAATGTTGTTGCTTCTTGGGATCCAAACTTAGAAAACTATACATTGGCATACAATATAAGACACCTTTATTTATTTTGCATTATTGGCAACTCACCTCCATTTGCTGTTTGTTCTCATTTGTATGAATCATCATTGATGTGCCCGAGTGGCGAGCAAGCATTGGCACTGGGACGGAGAAGACAGGGACTTGAGTTAGGCAAATGCCCTCATTCATCATCCCAGTGTGGAGCCCTCGGTGGAACACAACTATTGTCTGCAGCAGGCAAACACCCAGGAATAGCAGATGGAGCAAGTGAGGCAGGATCAGGCTCAGTTGATTTGCCTTCTGTGCTTTGTTTAGCTAAATGTGTGTTTTTTGAACTTGTGAAATGACTGCATCCTGTGGAGATTTTATCTGAAGAGCATAATTGCTGATAAAATCACCAGTGCATCTGTGCTTTTGGGAATAAAAGTTTAGTTTTCTAAATGCTGTAAATGTGTGTGTGTGTGTGTGTGTGTGTGTGTGTGTGTGTGTGTGTGTGTTTGAAACTTTACCAACTCTCTTCCCGTTGTCCTCAGGTGGCTTACCTACAATTGTGAGTGCTCAGAAGAGTTGCCGGGATTTCGAGGCCCTGTTCTGTCGATGGTCAACTCCCAGTATTTGCGTGTCACTCTTCATTCCAAAGAATTTGATTTCTGCGTACTTGGAAGACACCTTCCCCATATTAGCCATTCAAACTACAAAAGCCATGTTACTGTTATTACCATTGGTAGAATGTGGCATTTGTATTACAGTTTTTGTTTTAACATTTGTGTCTGTTTTGTATATTTGTCCTATTTAGAATTGAAATTTGTATTTTATTTTATTCATTTTTTTTTACACATTTCAACCAAAACAAATTAAAATGTTTTTTTTCTTCCCCCCAATGAATCAGCTCTTCCTTTCTGTTCATCTGTTTGAAGGATCTGCTGCTTGATGAAGCTTATTTTAGGGACACTTCAGAGAGAGTGCACAGCAGCCAATCCTCTACTTGAGGGTAATTACATCTTGTGGAATAAATGTAGAGTTTTGTGGAGTGGTGGTTTATTTGTTCAGTGTTCATGCATTTTGTAACGGTAAGCCTTGTTGAAGAAAAAAAAAAGGTTTAGTATTGAACATATTTTTAAAAGTCTTAATATGTCTGTCTTTAATAATGATGCAATTTGTTGGTTGTGCATCACACTAATGCGGCTTACAGTAAGTACACTATACGGACGGAAATATTGAGGCATATTTTCTCAGGAGGTCATTGGGGAGTTCTTTCATCCAGTACACAAAACAAAGTTGATAAAGGATTTGTTTTGGTGGAGAGAAGCGATGTGTTGAATTCCATCAAGAAACCTTTGAGATAAATAAGAAGCGAAACTCCTTGAGGAACGTTGTTTAATCAGTGCATTGTCTCAACATTTTAAATTGTGCGCCATCCTTCTTACAAGTCTTGCTCTTGATAATGAACCTAAATTTAAGCGGCCAACTCCAAAGTTTTGTGTAAAGTCTCTCCTGGTAAGGTCTCATAATTTCCAAAACGCAGTGACGACATCAGGCAATTACAACAGAAAGTAGTATGTAAATGAGAATAATAAATGTTCCATATCATGTAGTTGTTTTGAACTGACCTGGCATTAAGGGGGTTAAATATTGGTAATTTAAGCATTACACCTAAATCATGGCTTTTCTTTTCTATCAAATGGTCCACGCAGGTCTAATGTGCCATATGTAGCTTATATTTGCTGCTCTGTTTCTTAATTTTAGTTTTATTGTTTGGGTGTGTAACATCAATCTGCATAATTTTGACAGGTAATTCCCAATGTTAACCCTCTCATGCACCCTGTAACCTGATAACATGATAAACCATCCACTGGAGTAACCGTTGTCCCTGAAAGGGTTAAAGGCCTGTTTTATATATGTGTGTGTGTGTGTGTGTGTGTGTGTGTGTGTGTATATATATATATATA